CTAAATTCCTTTCGCATTGAAAAAAAACTTAGTGAAGGAATGTGACCACTTATGTTTCATTTTTACGAAAGATGGCAAAAGAGGATATGTAATTCAAATGTAAGAGACAGCTGAGTTTACTCTGAATTATTATCAGGCATTGGAGCTAGAAATTGTGGCATCTTTTTAACCAACAGCCCTAAAATAAGGCTTACCATAAGTCTCAGTTTGGAAAAGAAGAATTAAATAGTGTCTTTTTTTTTTTCCTGAAGTCAAAAGGTAATCCCTTTTCTTTTTAGCTTCTACTTTATATAGATTTTGTTGCTTGATTCGAATTTTGTTTTCATAATGTGGAACTCAAAAAAGAAATTCTCATCAGGATCTTATTAATGTCACTATTAGATGATTATTTCATGGTTTTGCTAGATGCAACAATTTACTTGTTTGCAACTACACTAGGAGACAGGGATGTCAGTCTCTTATTTAAAAAGGAGTAAAAATCCAGTAAGAGTGCCACTATGGAAAGGCAGGAACTTGGGAAAACTGCCTCCTAACTTTTAAGTAAATTAACAAGTTTTGATTTGTGCTTAGTGAACCGCTGCATCATTAGTAGCTGACTGCTTGACTTCAATAACCAGACCTGGTTCTCTAGTTCAATTAAACTGGGGTTTCATTAATGAAAATAAGATACTCAGATTGCACACTCTTCTTGCAGACACACAGTCATTAGCTAAAGTGCACTGGGAATTGACAAAGTGAACAGTGTGAATGTGCAGTAACACTGCCTTTTTGGAAACAGAATTTTTAAATTAATTTCGTTAAATGCTCTTGATCAAGTTATGTGACATTTAACAAAATGCACTTCAAACAGAAGTTTCAAGGTTTCCTTTTGTGCTTGGGTGAACATGCTAGAAAGCAAGCATTGGAAGTAGCTACTTCTTTGTGTAGTGGCTTCATTGGGATCTTTCAATATGTGCATTTATAATAAAATATAATTTACAAGAGTACTGTACAGTCAGTTATAGGAGCACAGAGTCATTTTCTCATGCAATTCAAATCTCATCATGGGAGTCCATTTTTTTTAGAAAGACAGAAAAACAAATAGCTTAAATGAAGAAATATCTTTTGGTTTTTCCATGATTGAAAAGTCTGTCCTTGGGTATTATTCATCAGCTATACCTTTCAGATAGAATAACTTAAACAGAGAACAATAATTATTATTATGTTCATTTATAGTAAGCTTCAAAGCCCATGAGTATCAAAATTAGCAACTGAAAAGTATTTGCAGAAAGAAAACCATAAAGTACATGTATAGTAGTCCCCTCTTATCCACAGGAGATACTTTCTAAGACCCCCAGTGGATGCCTAAAACACGGGCAGTACCAAACTCTACATATACTTTTTTTTCTTACATACTTATGTATGGTAAAGTATAATTTATAAATTAGGCACAGTAAGTGATTACCAACAATAACTAATAATAAAGCAGAGCGATTATGATGATATACTATAATAAAGGTCGTGTGAATGTGTTGTCTCTCTCAAAATATCTTACTGTACTGCACCCGTCCTTCTTGTGGCATCAGACGGTAAAGTGCCCACGTGAGGAGATACAGTGAGGTGAGTGACAAAGGTATTGGGGCGCAGGGTTAGGGTATTATTGACTTTCTGACAGTAAGTCAGGAGGAGGATCAATTGCTTCCAGACCTCAGTGGGGTGCAGGTAACTAAAACCACGGAAAGTGAAACCCCAGATAAGGGGAGGACTACCTTATGGTCATGTAATCTTAGCTGTCATGCGTGTGCAATGAGATTTACTTAAGAGGAAAAATCATAACCTTAGGTTATGAATGAATGTAAGTATAACTGGGATATTCACGGGGTAGAAGATAATATGTTATTAGATGGTGATCAGTAATTTTGTGCATATATGATTCAAGTTGACTATTCTTATGCATTGAAATCCCATTTGTGGGATTTGCAAAATGTATACCAACATTCTCTTCTACAAGTTGTGGTCCAATATGGCCTATGAATAAGTTTCTGTTTAACTATAATATTGAATTAAGAATGTAATTAATATTTATTCAAATTCCTCTTTACTCTCAGGCATTACAAGTATTTTTGAACTTTAAATCTTAAAAAAGACACTTAAAATATCTGGATATAGACTTGCATTTTCATTTAAAGACATAATTCTTAAAACAGTAAGCTGGAGAGAGAGAAGGAAAAAAGGAGCAATTATAACTGTAAAGAATTATCAGACTGGCTTTATAGGAAGCTATTGTAGTCTATATTAGATACAGACAGTGTTGGGCTATCAAAAACACTCTTACTCATTTCATTCTGTGGTGAATCTTCCACTAAGATTGAATTGTGACCCGAGGCGTTTACAGTGGTTGTCTGGGTAGTGAGATCTTTTTCATCTTCTTATATATTTTTTAAAGGTTCTTCTTTATATATTGTCTCTGTCTAAAGATAATGTATATAATAAATATAGAGATTCTTACTCCCTGAGCCTTCACTGCTATCAAAAAGTCCTGCCTAAAGCTGGTGATTGTGGAAACAGGTGATGGCAGTTTCCTAATTAGATCCTATGGGTTCGTTATGATTCTCTCTACTTTTCTGTAAGTTTGGAAACTTCATAATATAGGGTTTAAAAATATAGTATCTATTTATACATAGTCTCTGCTAGGGCTTATAATGAAAAACTTACAGTAAGTCCCAATTCTCTAGGAATATGGAATGCTGATGAGGACTGACATATAGAAAATACACCAAGATAATGAATATAGGATAAATATATAGAGAGAGTAAAAGAGCCCATTTTTGCAGCTCCTCCATCATGACTGTCTCCCTTCTCGTCTTTCTACTGCAGCCTCTCCAACTGCGGCCACTCTTTTCCTCATGTGCTACCTGAGAACGGCCACATCCCGCAGTCGCCCTGCGGCTCCCCCCTCAGGGTTATCACTTTCCTCTTCTACAGCTACTACTCGTTTTTATGCTAGGTTGCTGCAAAGACATCTTAGTGGACATCCTTAATCTCTCATGTCATTTGCTTGAAAATTCATCTTGAATCCTGAGTCAAATTTGACTTCCTAAAATGGAAGGTATTGTTTCTCTGCTTGAGGAACAAAGACCCACTCCTCGCATCCCTCCAGCACAGCCTGTCTGCCTACTCAGGCCATCCCTCTTCTCAAGCCCTCTGTAATTCACCCGCACGTTTTACTGTCTCCTTGTCTTGGCTTCATCTTCTGCACCATCTTACGCTTCCATAAACCTTTTATTTACTTATGATACATATGTGTGCAAGAACGTACTGAATTCTTTCAAGATCCACTTTCCCCTTCGTAAGGGCCCTACGTCAACTACCATTTCACACTCCTGAGTTACTACCTGTGTTTGAGTGTCATCGGAACCGTGTGACCTTTGAGGGGACAAGTGATCCCGTGGTTCTCAACTCTGGCTGCACATAAGACTCACTGGGGGAGTTCAAAAAAATTCTATCCTAGACCAATTAAATCAGAATATCTGTGAGTAAAGCATAGACATTAGGGAAAAAAAAAAGTATCAGTTATTTTTTAAATATCCCAGGTGATTCTGACATACAGGAGGTTGAGAAACATTAAATAATATTAGGCTTTTTTGATTTGTAAGTACTATTCATTCGTTTGGTTGATAGCTATGGGTTTATACTACTGCGGCAGAAAACTGGCAGCCCTGGAAAATATGTTTTATTTGGCTTATAGAATGCTTTTGAAAAATCTAGACTTTAGGCAATATTTTACAACTGGGCGATTTGTCATAAATATTGGGATACACAAGTCCTCCTGAAAAAGCTTGAGGAAAGATCTGCTGAGACTGGGCCTGCATTCTTGCAAGGCAACACTTGGCTGAAACTGAACCGCAGTTCCTCTTCTGGACTGAGAACAGCTTCTAGTTTGCCATAGTCCTCACCATTCCCTACAGCTCCCTCACTAAGGGTATGTACCATTTACATAGTTGTTAATGCTACTTTTTAACAGGAAAGAACAATGTCTTTGAAGACTATCTTACTCCTCTCCTCTAACTACCCCTCCACTCCCAATAAGGCTCTCTGTTGAAGTAGAAAATGTTTCTATGTGTCAAATATGCAAGCATCTGACACACATTATTCATTTGTATTATCTGACTGGCCTCCACAGTCAGCTGACTTTGTAGCCCCTGGTCTGGTATATGGCAAGCACCGTGATAGAAGCTAGGTGTACAATGCTCTTTTTGGAGGAAGTCACACTTTAATGGGGAATGCAGACATACATTTGTTAGAATTAGGGAAGGGCGCACAGAACAGGTGGCATATGAGTTGGACCTAGAAAGATGGACTGGAGTTCTTCCAGGCAGAAAGGTGAAGAAGCCATTTTAGGTCAACAGAACAGCAACCCCAAAATATGGACATGTGAAGGCCCACAGAATGGTCAGAAAATCACATATGGGGAATGAGAAGAAGGTGGCTAGAGATGAAACTGGGGTAGATTTGGGAAAGGGGAGGTTGGCTTTGTGCCAGTCCCCAAGGGTTTTTTTCACTGTGTCTTCTAAGACTGTGGGGAACACCTTAAAAGTCTTTAACCAAACAGCCATGGCATCACATTTCTACTTCTATTAGAAAGATAATTCTGACAGCAAAGTGGAGATGAACTGGGAAGCTAAGGTGAGTGACAGTGGGAACCTGAACAAAGGAAGCAGTGACAGCACTGAGGAGACAGGCGAGATGTGCAGGCGGCATGACTGGCAGGGTTTGGAAGCAAATAGGAAAAGGAGAGGTACAGTCAAGGACGTTTTATCATGTAAAAATATTGAATGTATTTTAGTTGCTAAACAGAAATTTAAAATGGTGATCTGTCACTGATACGAGTTGATGTTAAAGTGACTTAATATTTAACCTCCAGCATAAAGCATCATTGCAAGGCTGGTTTTTTTTCTTTTTTTCCTTTTTCTTGGTCTTACAAATAAATATGTTTATGCCTTCAGCGCCTGACTGCATACCTGATTCTGCCGAACGCAGAGGATGACCCCCAAATTTGATTTCAGTTTGGCGGAGTTTAGTCATGTTTAGCAGCTGTGTGACTTGTGGAACATCTGTCGTTAGCTGGCAGCTTCGGGGAATAACGTCTGTAGGTTCATCTGTTGGAAAGGGAACACCGTATCCAGCTGGAAATTGACACAAACATTCATTCCCAAAATGTAAGCCATTTATGCCAAAGGGACATGTCTTATACATGAAACCAATTAAAGTACAGCATTTTAGAATAGGATTTGGGGTGGGTTACTCAACCTTACGGCCTTGGTTTTCTCATCTGTAAAATGAGCACAATGATTTTACGATGTACCCTCTAGGTCTACAGAAAGGATTAAATGAGATAAAGTATATAACATATGCAGCAGGTTCAGAGATTTGTACAATAAATAAGAGAATTCATTGGAGATATTTATATTTGTTTTTCAATCCTTGAGTGTGACTCCAGAGGAGAACTAGTTGGGTACGCTCCAACGAAGGTTACCGGAAGCACTTGGGCTCATTTATATGAGATCAGTTAAGTACAATGACATTACTGAATAAGCACCTAGAGGCATTATATGAGTAAATTAACTTTTTAACTTTCTGTTTTAACTTTAGAGCTACAGAAAGTTACAAGAATAGTACAAGTTCCTATGTACCTTGTCCCTAGCTTCCCCTAATGTTAACATCTTACCTTTGAATGTTTTCAAGAAGAAAATACAAGTAAGTTTTTTATAATTAAAATAATATTTTATTATTTTAATTCACATTTCTAATGAGTTTTGGTATCATCGATATATATTTATGTGGGTATTTAAGATTTCATTTTAGTATATTTTCTGTTCATGTTCTTTACCCATTTTATTATTAGAACATTTCCCCTTATTTATTTATATGATATTTTATGGTAAAGATATTAAACCTTGTCATATAAAGCAAACAGGAATTAAATTGGTATTAGCATTCCAAAAAGCAATTTTACCATATGTATCAAAAGCCTTAAAAATGTACATGCCATTTTACTTAGTACTTTCACTCTATGAAACTACCCTAAAACTAAAAAAACAAACTAGAACTCAAAGACCTATATAAATAGGTGTTTATAATTTCTGAAAAATAAACAATTTGAATTTCCAGTAAGGAGTCAACCACAAGAAATTGTATTTATGAAAATGGCTTGATGATATGGGAAAGACTCAGGATAAGAAGTCAAATGAAAATAATATATATAAAGCTGTGATTTAACTACAGAAAATCAATAAATAAAATGTATGTATGAATGGCAGAAAGACTAGAAGGAAATATACCAAACTGTAAAATAACTTTCGCTTAAGCATAGGTTTTGTTTTTTCTTCTTCATAAAAATGTCTATATGTGTTTAATTTTTATAAGCAAAATTTCTAATTATAGAGTCTAGTGGAAAAAATTTGTGTGTACATATATTAATGTGAGTAGTAAGAAAAATTCAACCAATCATCCTTTAAAAAATTTCCTATGTAAGTATAACTCTAACCATGTTTATAAGGGCAAATGATGATACGATTATGTGCAGCCAAGTCATGACAGTTTCCTAATTAGATCCTAATGTTCTAATCTTGAAAAGGAAAAATGAATCATTTAATTAAAAGCTTAAATGCTCATCAGCAATGTAACAGTTTCTAAGTGTCCTGATGCTCCAGGCATTAAAAATACTCTAGGATTGACAAATCTTAGTTTTCAGGTATTCTTGTCTGTCCATTTCTTATTGTCAATGACATTTAGAAAATCAATATAAAGTAATTGAGTAAATGAACTCTCAAAAGAGAAAACATTTGGAAAAATAAGTAAACTAATTCCAGATACATATTTGACATATTTCAAACTCTTCTGAGGTAGAAAAAGATAATTTCCACATCAGTGTCTATATAGATAAATTAAGATTTTATATTAAAACAGGAAGAGAATTCTGCAGGCTAATAAAACTCTGAAATAAAATGCTGAATCACATAAAGAGAAATCAGGGCAAGTTTAGTGAGGATGGTACAGGATAAAATGTCATACAACGGTTGAAATGTATCCACAAAATCTGAGTTTTCAAATAACAAAGGACAGACAGCAAATCCCCGGTAACCAAAAATCCATAAGCTTTTACAGAGGACATAACAAGGCAGAGACTATTGCAAAACTAGTCTGGATCTTACAGGAACATGGTTGACAAGCACATCAGATTTCACACTAAAAGGCTCAAATCCCTGCCGAGTCATCTTTCCTTTCTGTGCATCTACTCTTTGTTCTCACCCAGAAATGTCTCACTACTTACTGGATTATTCATTGAGGGAAGCTATAGGCAGTATAATACCTGCAAAAATAGGAAAAATCAAAGAAAAAAAACTATTGGTTTATTATTTTAAAATGAAGACTAACCATTATGCCCATTTAGCACCTGCTCACTCTCAAATTTTCTTGAAGATTTTGTGGAAGAATACAGGAAAGGGACTGGAGTCTCGTTTTTGTGAAACCAAACTCTGAAGGACCCAGGAGGTGGGTGTTCTGACAGACCTAAATGGAAGATAACTCATCTCCCCACTACTTACCTCACCACTGACCAAGCCCTCCTCCAGGTTCAATAACTAGGTCATTTTGTTGTATTTTTTAAACATTTACAGCTTATTTTAAAAATAAGAATTCTGAAAACAGCATAGATCCTACATAAAAATTAGATAGTTCTAAACTGTGAGTCCACAGTGAGCATGTTTGCTTCATTCATTCACTCATTTTATCACTCAGCAAATACTTCCTGAGCATCAATTCTGTGCCAGGCATTTATCTAGTGGCTGGGAATCTAGTGGTTAGCCAGACTGACTCTATCCTGGCCTTCTTGAAGCTTATATTTAGCAGAGAATATGAAACAAATGATGTCATAAATAGTCAATAATCTTGTCAAGTGCTGTGAAGGAAAAGTTCAAGCTGGTATGAAATAGGTAACAGAGGAAACTAATAGCATAGGATGTGAGGGAAAGTCTTCTTTTATGAAGAGACATTTCAGCTAATTCTCACAGGGTAAGTAGGAAGTGGCCTGGTGAAATGGGGGTGGGAGTGACCATTCAGGTGGAGGAACAAAGCATTTGAAGACTCTGAAGGCAGAAGGACTCTGGTGCATTACAGGAACTGAAACAAAGACAATTCTGCTAAAGGACTAGTGAGGGAGAAAATGTGGGGAACCCCAGTGATATATTCAGGACAACATTTGGTTTAAAGCAGGTGCTTTAAACATTTGGTTTAAAGCAGGTGTCAAGGACAAAAGCCCCTTAATAACAGTCAGCCTAGATTAAAAGCAACTGCCAAATCTCCCATATTTCTTCTTTTGTTGCTCTTTGTTCAGCTATATCCTGAAAAGCACTCCACACACATTTTATTTGGAGAGCACATCTTCCTCCCCAGCTGGCAAATAACAAATTACCTGGCAATCTGATGCTAAGGGACCAGGCAGGGCCTGTCTGCACTGTTCTTTTTGACAAGTTTTATCTTCTGGAAGGGGCTGTGTATGGAAACAGGCAGACTGCTTGATTAATTTGAAAAATGACATAGTAGAATTCAAACTGCTTTTGCTAACAAATCTGAAAGAACATAATGTTGGCTGGAACGGTCAACTCAAAATGGCAAAACGGTAAATGAAGGAGAAGGCTACGAGAAAGCTGACAGATTTGCTCACTAGCATCCAAACCCATCCAGATGGTGGGTTTTTATGATGTCTTTGCTCCCAGTATGAGTTAGTGTAGTATTAGAATGTTTGAGTGACTTTGTGACCCTGTTCACCTTTCTTTGGCATTAGAGCAATCATAAAATGGACCATTCTGTAGGCGTTTTGAGAATCTTAACTAGCTTTAAAAATTAAGTCATTAATTTTAATACACATATAAAGTGTTTTATGCATTAAAAATAACCACCCCTATTTTACTAGGGGGAAATGCCTTGTAAAAATAGTGAAATTTATATATCTGTTTTGGTTTATAGCTTCTCCTAATTAATATAGTTTAAATAAGGACTAATTTTATGATAGTTTACTAGTCCCAGACTGACTATCTTCATCTTATTTATCTGGAACTAGCCTGCAGTGCCTAACACAGTGACTTGTTTATATCAAGTCTCACCTCCATGAACACCAATGAGAAACAGGCAGAAAACACAGAAGTCTCAAACTGCCAAAATATTTATCTTAGTTTGTTTGGGCTGCTATAGCAGAATACCATAGACGGGATGGCTTATAAACAACACAAACTGATTTCTCACAGATCTGGAAGCTGTGAAATCCAAAATCAAGGCACTGACAGAGGGTGTCTGGGGAGAGCTCTATTCCTGGGGCAGAGTCTGTGCTTAATGGGTAATCATTTTTTCTTTCCTCTCTTCCGTCTTTTTCTTACCTATTTACACATATATTCTCTTTTGTTTTAAATGCAGAATGATACAAGTTAGTCAATAATTCAGTCATGCAAATACCTAAAAATGCCAGTCCATGTCCCCTCAGGAACCATAAAAGTAATAAACTGAATTGAATTGGCATGCTTTACTACTTGTCCAGCATAAGTCATTCCTCTGGGCAAGTGAAAAATTGGTTAATTGCTCGTTTTAAGGTTTCAATAATTCACTTTCTATTATACCCTACTGTGTAAACATAGAGCAGCAAAGGAATTAGGCAATTTCCTAGCTTGGGAGAGTTTAAAAGGTTCTAGGATGAAATGGTAGCAGTTTAAATAAGCCAAGGACAACACAGTACTGAGCTCAAGCAAGCATTTAATACAGTATTATAAAACTGAATCCCAGAGTGGAATGTAAGAAACACGCAAAAAAGTTTCCTATGATAAAAATCTAAATACTAGGACTAATTTCTCTTTGCAGAAGAAAATGCCCCTCCTTCAGTAAGACAGACAAAGGGACACCCATTACTTACCAAAGTACAGGCACCCTCAACACACCCTCGGTCACCAAATCCTGGCATTCTTATTCTGTGACATCTCTTGTATCTCTTCTAATTTCCCCTCCCTTCTACCCTCCATGAGAGTCAGTGCACTATAGTAATTAGGAGTATAAACTCAAGTCCTACTGCCAGGGTTCAAATCCTGTCTCTACTACGTACCAGGTGTGTGACGTGGGACCCGTTATCTCTGTGCACTGCAGAATGCTCTGTGCTTCAGTTTCCCTAGCTGTCAAATGGGGTAATAACAGTTATATCCACCTCATCAAGTGTTTAGAATAGTCACTAGTGCTATCGTCATCACCACCATTATCACCTCTGCTGCCAACCTCCCTTACCAGGGACAATTTACCCCTGGCATGTTATCCTTTGTCCTCTTTTATCTAATTACATACACACTGAACTGTAGTACTAGCTTTTCGTGTCCCTAATTATGCAGTGAATTCTGAGCACAGGAGCCTCGCTCTACATCTTCATGTCACCTGGAGTCTGCAGCCTAGTAATATAATACTGTGTTAGCCATACTCCACCCTGCCGTGCACCACAACAAACTCCCTGTCCTGTGGAACGCACCAGATCTGCATGCGGTACCTTCCCTTTATACATACATGCTCCTTCCTCTTCTTGAATGTTTTCTCTTTTTGTCATCCACTTTCATTACTTGGGAAATTATTTTTCCTTCAGGATGCAGTTCGGAAAGTTTATTTCTCTAAGTTAGTATAGACCAAACATGGACATATGGACAGATACTGATCTATGAGGTCATTTTCACTGGTCTGTGGTGAAATCTCAGCCTTTATTCTGAAATTAAGAGCTTCCTAGTAGGTGTGTTTAACTATCCTTTCAATTAACAAAATGATCAGAATAACTGTAGTTTTTCTTGTCTGTTTTAACGGTCTGATTTGACAAGTTTAAAAGTTGGCAATCTTTTGTTTAGCCAAGTTCTTAATTTGACATGTCTGTGAAATCCAAGTGCCTCACCAGGTGGCTCTCACAAGCAAGGGCTAAGCGTTTTCCTTGGAGCTGACAGCTACTTTGTTTTGTCATAGGTTTTCCACACCCTTAACATAAATTCTTCCCAAATTCCCCTTTACTGCTGTAAATCACCATTGATTTTATTGTCATGTTCAAACACACCACGCTCTCTCCACCGATATACTTTTTTCTCTTCCTGGGCACTTTCCTCCTGAAAGTCTCCATCTTTCTGCTTATCTGGACCAATTGATCTCTAGATGCACTGCACTAAATGCCATCCTTTCAATTTTCTTGAAAGTATGAGTTTAGGCATACTTTTGGTAACTCCTTTGTTTTTCCCCTAGAAGCAGTCCTGTTTCTTGTGGAAATAATCTTCCAGATTTTTTTGAAAAAGGATGTATGTACATAAATAGAATTTGGAGACCCTGCCACGTTGTCAAGTAACTTCATTCTGCCCTCATTTAATTGGTAGACTAGAGTGTAGAATTTGAGTTAAAAAAAAAACTTTTCCTTAGACTTTTGAAGGTATAGTTTCAAGGTCTTCTACCATCTGTTGCTGTATGAAGTCAGATATCATTTTTATTCTTAGTCCTTTGTAGGTAACCTGTATTTTTTAAAAATCCTGGAAGCTTAAAGGGTCTACTCTTCTCTCTTGTTATGGAATTACACAATGATGAGTCTTTCTTTGATGAGCTGTGTCACTCTGAAAGCACCTGGCCTTTAATTTTGGGAAGTCTTATATTTCAACCTGTTCTCTCTAGTCTCTCACCTTGGAATCCTATTACTCCGTTGGTGGGCCTCTTGGACTAGTTAATAAAATTTTAACATTTCCATCTGTATTTTCAGTCATTTGGGCTTCCTTTTTTTAGATTTTATTTTACTTTCTGGTTCTATATATCTAGAGGAAGATGATACAATACATAGTCTCAAAATATCTATTTAGTTTTTGATTTCCAAGGTCCACCATTCATTCAAAACTTCAACATACCAGGCAGTGAGACCAAGAAGAAACAGTTAACAGAAACAGACCCACAGGAGAGCCAGATATTGGAATTATGAGCCATGGCTTTTACAATAACTTTAATATATTTGAGAAATTAGATAACAAGATAGAGAACTTCAGATGAGGAATGGAAACTATAAAGAAGAATCTAATGGAAGGCCTAGAAGCAAAAACTATGATAACTGAAGTTAAGAATGCAGAACTGTGTATTCATTCAGCTCCTCAATAAATATCCAAAGAAATGCCTACATAGATATTCCAAGACAAATGTAGGATGATTCTAGCAGTGTTCAAAATAGCCTAAAATGGATAAACTGTGTTGTACTCACAGACTGCACACCACATAGTTTTGGAAATCAGCAGTACGTCGGTGAATTTCACACAATGCTTTTTGGCAGAATGCATATATGAAAGAATATGTACTACATGATTCCATTTAAGTAAGGTTAAAAAACAGGTACAATTCATCTGTGGTGTTAGAAGTAAGGATAGAATGACCCCCCAGAAGGTAGAGGGTCATGATTGGGAGGGGATATAAGCAGGGTTTCTAGGATGCTTACAATGTTTTATTTCTTGACGTGGGTGTGGTTACAGAAATGTGTTCACTTTGTGCTACTTCTTCAAGCTGCACACTTAAGGTTCGTGAATGTTTCTGTATGTATATAGGAAGTTTATGATACAATATCATTTCTAATATAATAAACTTCAGTAAAATGTTTATCGAAGTAAAGCAAGAACAAATCATTCTTATTTTATAGATGCAGTATCTTCTCTTAACTCTGAGAAAAACATGTATCTATTCCCTCCTGCCTCTGTTTCCTTCTTCCTGAGTTCAAAATGTACTTGGGTTCAGAAGTTTGCTGGTTTAGTTTCTCCTGAGAACAAATCTCCTGTTCTGGTTGTATGGAGTTGGAGAAGAGACCTGGGGGCCCACAACAACTATATAGAATTTTAACCAATCTCCCTATTTTTAGCCATGTCTCGTCCCTGTTTTTGGCAGTACTTAGAGCTGCCAATTCCCAAGTCCCTCTGAGGTTCTACATTATGAATCTTGTTGACAACTCCCTCTGTAAAACCGACAGTTTCAGCTTTCTCTGCTCTTCTAAGGCAGTCATCACTCCTCAGTCTTACAAAATTGATGACCACCTTTTGTCTGTTGTTTCCTCTCCCATACTCTCCATCCTGGTGGGCTTAGCTTTTTTTATTCCTATATTATAATTTAAGTGGGGCTTGAGGAAGGATCAGAGATAAAATGTATTTAATCTGCTAGGTTTTGATTCACTTTTTTCTTTCCATTTATTTAAAAATATTAATCAGATTATGGTCATCTCTTATGATCTAATGGAAAATACACATGTATTTCTATAAATTTTGAGGTTTCCTAGTAGTAGCTGGGTGCTATTTTTTTTTTAATGAAATCTTTCACTTTCTCATATAGCCTTTAAGTGGTACAAAGGATGAGTGGCCACATTTCCTGGCTTTGATCTCTTTGGGGAGCTGTTAATACACTGCTGTGTTTTATTATCAAATGAAATTTATGGGCACAGTGTCCTGTTCCACAGAGTGAACTACACAAGGATTTCTCTGACATGCACCCAGGTGGAGTACAGGTCTAAAGTCTACATGGAAACTTCTAAGAAAACACCTTCGCTGTCTCATGTGCAGCCCTGTTTCCTGGGCTTCTAAGAGAATTGATTTTGTTAAAAATAATCCCAGATGAAAATCAAAAGGCAGCATCAATATTCTCTCAGTACTTTCAGTTGTTTAAGACTATCTAAGCAGGGGAGTTTGTGCTGCCTTATAAATTCTAGGTGGCTCAGTTACCTAGAGTATATTTATTAATCATATAATGAATAATTAATGTATTTCCAGTCTCTCTAGAAATAATATAAGGAATATCTCAACCATGTACATTAACATGATCATTAGAAAACTAATATATTAATATAATTTCTCCCAAATGACATCATGACATGTACACAGATTAACAGTATAGACAATTGCAGAGCTTTCTGGATGTCTAACGTGTTTTGAACACCCTTCCTGGCTTGGTGAGTATGCTATACAGTAAGTCCTATCTCCTTGGTCAGGAATCAGGCATCTGCTTTGCTAGCCTCCCTTGCAGCATATAACATACTCTACAAATCAGACACAATCATGCCAGCTTTGTTCAGGACAGAGAAACATGAAGAAGAAGAAGAAATCCACTTCTAGTGAGGGTGGCAGGGAAGAAGACATGACATCCAATTTCCAGAAGTAGCAGCAACAGAAATTCTGGAACCTAGAGCCCAGCATTCAGTGTGATTTATGGAGTCTCCGTGCAGTACTACTGGCTATCGGGGGTCTTCCTCAGAGCAGTCTTGGGGTCGGGAGTGGGTTCTTGATTGCAGACTACAGGACTTTCTGGATATCCCCGAGATTCTGTGAACTGGCTAATACCCTTAAATTAATTCCTTTTCTGTTTCTACTTTTCAGAGTTGCTTGGAATTAAGAACCCTAACTCAGATGGTAAGTGCTATCATAAAGAAAAAATAAAATAACCACAAAGATGAAAAGTATACCTTTGTGACATTCAGCTACCATAAAAATAAAATGTGATCTGGAGTAAAGAATGACATGCTATATAACACGGAAGAAGCATGAGGACTTACGCTAAGTGAAAGAAGACAATTGCACAGACACAAATACTGTATGATTGTACTTATGTGAAGTATCTAAAATAGTCACACACGTGGAATCAAAGAACGGAATGGTAGTTTCCAAAGGCTGAAGAGAGGAGAAACGGGGAGTTACTAAGCAACGGGCGTAAGGTTTCAGTTGAGATGAATAAGCTGTAGAGATGGGCTATACAACAGCGTACCTATAATCGAGAATAACAGATTGTACACTAAAAAGTGTATTCAGAGGATATAGTTCATGTTAGGTGTACTCCCCACAATATAATTAAATAAAATTTTAGAAACCACTACCAAGTACTCAAAGCATCCAAAGGCACATCTAATTTTAAAAACATGTTAGAGAATTAAAAAATTTTGGTAGCAAGTTGAACATACCTTCTTTCTCAGCAGTGTCCTGAGGCTTGTATTTTAAAGTGAAGATTTTCCGTAGTTTACAGTTAGCAGAGACAATAATTCCATCTAATGACTGGAAAACTGCTCCCTTGAATATTTCACTGGTAAATGCCACCAAGTCAATGCACAGGTTGCACCACTTAAATAAAGAAAAGGAAAGAAGAGTAAGTATGTGATCTCATAAATGAATAAGCCACCTATATGTGGGAAGTCCAGGGAGGTGAGGCAACTATCTGGGTCAACCAATCCCAAACCAATTTTCCCCTTTAGGCAAATTCATCTGGGTTTTGGCTTTAATTTTCTTAAAAATTGCCTTGATTCTCCAAAGCAATCACTATAATCTAAACTAAACATTGGTGGTCTCATCACAGAGTTCCAATCATGAGACAAGGCTTTGACACTTTAGGAATAACTCCAGCTCTGTAGGCAGTATGCTAGTGGGAAGCTAACTGCAGGTGCGTTAGACCACTTAAATCTTGAAAATCAGGGATAAGTAGCCAATTGTTCCTTCAAGGGGCCTAATTTGATTACAATTAGACCCTTATATTTGTTTTTTTAAAAAGCAAAGATGAAATTAGTAGCTGGGTTTAGATTGTGGCCAGTGCTGTCTACTTACAACCAATTAACCTATTGTACAGAAATAGAGTGTTCTGAAGAATTTATAATTATGCCTGTTATGTGCCAGTTTTTAAAGTACTCTTGCAGGGACTAATTTCTGCCCATTAAACAATTACACCCCTCAATACTTCATCAAATGAATTCTCTAAATGGTCTGACTGAGTTAAAGAAAAGGAGAAAATCATTTAGTAAGAAATTAAGACATACTTAAGACTGTAGGACAAAAGCAGGAAAAATTAATTTTTGAAATTAAAAGTAGGACTTAAAATTGTGCTTCTTTTAAAATACCAGGTTCTTCCATTATTTGTTTAGAGGCACAGCATCATGTCCATTTTACTAATCTATCAAAATTGAAAGGTATATTCATTAATAAAGGAAATTAAAATGTCATTTTTAAAAGGTAAATTCTATTTGGGAATGTTGACTTTTATTATAGAGGAGAACCTGAGGCTGTTTCCATAGTAGAAAAGCAAAGAGATTGCAGTAACTTATTAGTTAAATACATGATTATTTTCTTTGTAGATATCTTAAAAGTAACATTATATTCTCAGGCCATGGGGATGCTCTGGTCTTTTGGGGTAAAGGAGTCCAGCAGAATATAAGGCAGGAAGTAGGACTGAATGTGACAAAATAATGAGACTGACTTGACCAGTAGGCTGGTGAGTTATGGGGAGGTGTGGGAAGCAGTGTGGGACGGGCCAGTGAGGCCAGGTTCTGGAGGACTGGAATGTCAGGAAGAGAAACTTGGGCTGCAGAGGGTAAAGGGTCAGTGTGGTTCTTCAAGGAGAATGTAATGGAAGCAGAGTATTGGGAAGGATGGACTAACCCTGAAGCAGGAGTGTTTTGGGGTGGTAGAAGGGGTTAGTGGGGGAGGGCTGAGGCGGAGTAGAGAAGGACGGAGGAATGGAAAGAATAGTCAGTCTATTAGGCATTTAAGCATGAAAGTGAAGATGGTCTGGTTAGGTCAACATAGGAAGTGGAAGGTAAGGGACAAATTCAGTAGGCATGCCAGAGGGTAAAATACTGCGGCGTGGTAAAATCCAGGTTATGGGGGATGGAGGTGTTCGGGCTTCCAGCTATCTAATAATAATTATGAACATTATTATTATATTAGCATTATTAGTGTTGCTATAAATACAGTTCCTATTCCTAAAAGACAACATTATGCCCCAATTCCAATAATCCAGCTGGCTCATCCATCAGCAATCATATGCATCCATTCCTTCCCATAGAATCTAAGCACTTAGCAGGTGTTAGCAAAGAATAAGACATTACGCACAGAAGGCACCAGGGGGGCTCCAGGTGGGGGAGGCCGCGGAAGTTCAGGAAGGACTGTTTTAAACAACATTAAAAAAATTTAAATGCAAATATAAGCAAGCAGTGCTAAAAGTTTTATACAAAACGTGGTCCTTGCCACCTCTTCGGTCCTCTAATCGTACAGCCAACTCTGTATTTTTATATATACGTCCCAATTTATCAGTTGTAGACATTATCAACTGACTTCCTATTAGGACAGAAAACATTTTAGCTGCCTTAAATGCCTTACTTCCTCTGCTTTATTCTCCCTAGATAATTATCCCTCGGTCTTTTTTCCTCAAAATTCATATTCCGTGTTTCCCTTGCTGTGACTCTATAAATATTGTACACAAATGAGCCAAGTGGTGCTCTAGGATTACCTCTTTCCTTATACAATTTTTCTTTATATTTCTAGAGTTAACAGTTGCTTTTTGAATTATCTGCTTTATTTTCATTGAATCTAAGTCTTCCTACGTCTAGGAAAGGCCTGGAGGTAACATCTGAGCTTGGTTTTGGACAATGAATACATTCCCAGGCCTGGGGCGGTATGCAAACACGCTGGGCATTTCTCCTCAGGCCCTGCTCCCTTCCCCTGCCTAGATGAACCCTCCCGCTGCCAGCACCTGAGCACCTCCAACCCTGTGGGCTCTGCTTGGAACTGGTGTCACCTCCTTCAAAACTGAGTCCTAGGAAACCAGGCCCATACCTACTACATTCTTTTGTTATCCATCACAGTCAGTCTGCTTTTATTCCCTCTGCTTGAACTTATGCTTCATGGAAAGTAATCAAATAATAGTCTGTGTATGTGTGTGTGCATAAATTTATGAAGACAGGCGTACACATAGATGCCTACACACAGACTTTCAATCTTTCATCTCATAATCATTCAGCCAACTCTGTAAGTCTGTGGGAACTGATAACTTATTTTGTAGTTCCAAAAAAAGATGGGAATAACTTTCACAAATCTCACTTGGCTAGAGGCAAGAGAAATTATTTTTTTGGGTTAGCTGATATTTATAAAGGTTCCAATTTTCATAATCTTCAACAAATAATTCATTGTTCATATAAATGTTGTGATATATTTTCTGACATTTTAGAAGAGCATTAAGTCTCTATTATTAATAGGTGGATTATCTGAGTTACATGATATTTAGAAAATATTATTTTCATTATTCTTGGTGATATCATCCATTCTTAAAATCCCTTTTGGCATTTTTTCTTGATCTCTAAATAACTTCATTCCTGTGTGCAATTTTAGTCCAGCAGGGAAGAGGTCTTGATCTAAAATATTCATAAATATGCATGTTTAAGAAGTATGCAACAGAAAGACACCAATCTGACAGAAAAAAGACAAGTGTATTTACCTTGTTGCTGGGATTTCTAAAAGAGTTCTAGTGTGGAATTCTGCATGAAGGAACTGACTAGAAAGGGTAAAATTAAGTAGAAAGCATTTCAGTGATTGAAAGCATGAATTTCTAGTTTTACTGACTCAAGTTTCGGCAATGTGGCTTTATTATACCAGGAAATGGATGGATATTCTGTGAACATGCACACATGCATGCACATGCACACACACTCACTCAAATGCATTTAATAATGTGTTATTGGTTACCTGGCCCTTCTTGATTCCCCAGGCCATTACTGTAGGAAAGATATGAAGATGACTGGATTATTTTGTCAGTGCACTGAGAGTCTGTCACAGTACACACCTCTAGCCAGCACTGCCTTCCAAGAAGGAAACAACGAACAAGGAATCACATTTCATAACCTAGCAATCCTAAAGTACATCTCTGCCCAGAATTTGAGAAAACCTCATTCTGTTTTCATGCTCCTAAAATGATAACAAAGAATGGGAGTTTAAGATGGTTTTTCTTGTGACTTTTGAAATAATTTTTCACATTTTAACTTCTCAACAGAAAATTGACCTTATTCATCTCTCTGACCATAATGTTGTGTTTATTAAATGGTACAAAGTGGAGATTGGAATAATAATTTTATATCCACATGGTCAGATGCAATTACCTGTTACAACCGTATTAAAAAAAATTTTTATTTTTTTTAGCAATTCTTGATACCACTGTATTAAAAACTACTATAAAAAACAATACCACCAGGAAAAGCAAATTACATGAGGAGTTGAGGAGGGGAGGTTGGGGCCATCAGAGCTGCAGCTCTTGGCTGAGTCTTGACTCCGGGTGGAGGTGTCTTCATTATACCTGTTCAGCAATCGATCCCTCCCTCCCGCACTGAGCCACTATCGCTTCCTGAAACAGCAGCCTCATCTTTCTGCTGCTAATCATCAAGTTATCCTCCAAAATCCTTGCTGCTTGAAAAGGGGGTCCTACATACCTTTCCTTAATGGAAATCTGGCTCTTTGAGATATCACTTCCCCTTCAACTCTGGAGCTGAAGTTCACTTACAGGGTTCACTTGTGCTTCCAGGGGCCCCTGTTTTGAAGCCAAGGGCTGGGTGGCACTGGGAGAAGGTTTGCTCTTCCCATTTTCTTGAAGCCTGAAGCACTGCACTGACAGGTTGTACCCTTTAGCTCCACTGATACTTAAATTGCTCCCCATCCCTCCTACCCCCTCAGACACAACCTCACCAGCCTGTATACATGTCCTGAAAAATACTGGGACTAGGTTCATCCAACCTTCTAAGTACACCGTTCAACACCCTAACAGTCCTGTAACATGCTTTCCTTCAAAGCCTTCCTCTCCTCTTCATTCTCCATAAACCACTCCCATGGCCTCATCCTCAGATTTAACTGTATTCCCTGAGAGTTAACTTTTACAATTTGGCATTAGAAATTATTTTCTATTATCTAATCCCAATATTCTATCCTTTAATTTGTCTGGCTATTCCCTTCAGTTAGGCCCTACTGGCAACTCCTCTTAAATAAACTGCTCTTTGGGATGCAAGAGTTTGGACTCTGAGCCCACCGCCTGGGTTTGAATTCCAGCTCCACTACTTACTAGTTGGGTAATCTTTGCCATCACTTACTTTCTCTGTGCTTCTCTTTCCTCAGATGTAGAATGGTGATGATGACACATCTCTCATAAAGTTGTTAGGATTAAGTGTTTAAATATATGTAAGCACTTACCATAGTGCCTAGCATATGTTAACCATATAATCTTTTTTACTTTCATACCATAAAATGCTCACAGTTTAAGGGTACTTATGGTTCAATGACTTTTGACCATTTCATACACCTGCATACTACACCCC